GAGATTGCCTTCCTGATGAAACCAGGAACATCATGTAAACATCCAGTTCAGCATAATAAAAGATAAACACATTTGATGAATTGCAATGAAGAATGAGTAACAAACTGCACGCTTTGAAGCTGTTTCGTCTGACATTCGGGAAAAGGAATGTAAGCAGACTAAAGGCACACAGAGACCCTGGTCCACAGTCCTTGCCAGCTGGTCCAATCTGCCCTTTCAGAGTTCAGTCATCAAAAGACGTTTCATCATCTTTTCTCTCTCCAGCTCGCGCCTTAAATTATCGACACTGCAAGTAACAGATATTCTATGGTTACAAAAAATACTTTCACCAAAATATTAAACACATAAGTGATAATGCAGTTAGCAAATGCAGCTGTTGATTTATTAATTCATTGATGGTTTATTTCTTTATCCACCATCACTTAGTTCCAATACAGCACTTAACCTTGTGTTTGATTAGGAACTTTGGTGAGTTTCTATCAACTAGTTAAGGGTTAAATAGTCTTAAAAAGAAGCACATTTTTACCAGAACCAGCACATTAAATGATAAGTCATGAAACGTAGCAAGATAACCTATGTCAGCAATGTGAGGGTTAACAAGCCATCAAAGCACATCATACCCAGATCAGCAAGGTAAGGGTTAACAATTCTTGAAATATAGCAGGAGACTCTGACTAGCAGTGTAACTTTTAACAAGTACTTAAACATTAACTGCATCAGTGTGAAATTACGTTTTGCAATAATTCATAAATGCAGTGGTCACCACAAACCCAAGTCGCTCGCCCTTCTCTGGTATTGCACAGTCTTGATGTTCAGTTCAATGCTCAGCTCGCTTGCCTTTCTCAAATTTGGTCCCTGAGCAAGACAGCTTTTTTGCCTCATCCCACACCTGCTTCCGACCCTTTTTCAAGCTGCTGATACCTCATTCATGCCTTCATCACCTCCAGTCTTAACTTTTGAGTCATCTTTCATTGGCCTCCCCAGCTCAACCATCCACAACCCCGTCATCACTGCTGCCATTGCCAGACTTCTCTCAGTGGAGCATGTCCTTGCAACCACACTGCTCTCATACACCGCCCCCCCCCCCCCCCCCCCCCACCACCCCCAACACACTTCTCCCTGTGGTTGTGAAATGTAATTTTAGCATCAGAGTCTCAGTTAGAATCTGCCATTCCCTGACATCAACTCCTATTCACTTAGTCTGTTTCTTATCCTGTCATCAGCATTCAGCATATAATTCATGTGCTGAGTTATACTCACCAATTTATACAACACCAATTTGTACTTTTATAGCACCTTACACATAGAGAAAATGCCTCAAAGTGGTTTACAGTGGGAGCCCAAGCTGTGAGGGAGGTTAAGGGCTGATGGAGAAGTTACACTCAAAGCAATTTGTGTAGAGAGGGAAGGGAGAGGTAGATGGATTTTGGAAGAGGGTTCCAGAGGTCAGAGGCAAAGTGACTGAAAGCTTGCTCACCAATTGGGTCACGAAGCAGATCAGAGTTTTTGGAGTGGAGAGTGGCCATGCGAGTAGCATTGCAGGAGATTGCAGGGATAGGGTGTGGCAAGACTGTGGAGGGATTTGAAGGTAAGACAGGATCTTAAAATTGATCGGGCAGGATACAGTTAGCCAGACGAGGATATGGTTGATGGGCTTGGTGAAGCCTAGTGTGGGACAGAATGCAAGTTGCAGGGTCTGGATGATCTGGAGTTTGTGGATGGTGGAGTAGGGGAGACATTAAAGGCACCTCCACACTCGACTTGAAAAAGTCGAGTGTGGGGGTGATGCAGGCAGGGATGAGGGTTTCAGTTGAGTTGGGGGCAGGTTACTGATATAGGTGGGCAATATTGCGGAAATGGAAGAAAGTGGACTGTGTCAATGTCCGGAAGAAAGTCTTAAAGACAACAAAAGCTGAGGTTCTGAGCAGGCTCTGTGAATTGGAGTAAACAAACAGCGAATTGGAAAAGGTCAGTGCCTGAGATGAGGAGGAGGTATCAAATAGTGTCAGTCTAAGCTGACACTCCAGTGTAGTGTTGGGTGGGTGGGGGGGTTGCATTTTCGGAGATGCCACCCCCCACCAGCACTACACTGAAGTGTCAGCTTAGATTGACAATCTTTCGGATGAGATATTAAACTGAGGTCTCAGCTGCCCGTTCAGATAGACATTAAAGATCCCATGGCACTAGCGAACAATCCCCCAAGTAAAATTGGTCACTCTTCATTGCTGTTTGTCGGACAATGCTGTGCCCAAACTGGCTGTCGCATTTTTTCTACAAAGTACAGTCAAACCACTTTACAGTAAATCCTATGAAGTGCTTTGAGACTTTTAACAATGTGATAAGGAGATATATCAAATACAAGAATAATTATTATTTTCCTTCAGCTAATTTCAAATCCGTTCCCATGCCTTACTCTGGATAACCAGTGACATCAGTTTGTGAAGGAGTCGCTCATTTGTTATTTTGTCAAATGACCTTTGGAAGTCTAAGTGCAGTACACTATTCAATTTCAACACATCAAAAAGTCTATGAGGCTGATCAGATAAGATCTACCTCTTATGAACTTGAGCTGCCTTTTTTATATAAAAGTAATCTTCCATTTTCTTTCTAATTGAGATGTTATATAAGTTAAGGCATTGTAAAAATGCAAGCTCTTTTAGTTATTAAATTCTGTGCTGATACATAGTGTGTATTTCTGTGCTAAATTTAAGCTTTTCAAAGAGTCAAGAGGAAACCTTATTGAGGGTAGAAATGGTATATAGGGAACTCGGGATATCAATTCAAATTAAACAAGAAGCTAAAAACCCACATTTAAAAAATAAAATTTATTATATATTGGGTAAGGTGGGGTATTTGAGGGTAAGCAGCTGGAAGGTAACAGAAAATTCTCATCCTTGATTGTTCCCTGAGCCAGGGAGGAAAAAACAACTTTAATTCTCTTTCTGATTGCTTTCCACTGACTCCTGTTGGAAAATACACATGTCCAGTGTCCTACTCAGTGTAGGCTCACACTGATTATCGGATATTTGTGAGGTACTGGAACTGTATCCCAACAAGAATCAACATCTCTGTGAGAGGAGGAAAAGGGGATAAGATTGGTAAAGTATTAATAGAGAATAGTCTCTCGTGCAAGTTTAGATTCATTTAAAGCCCTTCATCCTTCGTACCATTGTAATGAATTTCGAAGCGCTCCGGGATTCTACCCCACGTGAAGGGCGCTACATAAATGTAAGTTGTTATTGAATTTCCTTTGTATTGTCTAATATTGCTTTGCCTGTCCTAAGGTGAGATGCTCAAAATTGATCACAGTACACGAACAGAACGAGGAATCAATTGGAGTTATTAAAAGGGAGACAGATAGATATTTGAGAAATAAAGGTATTAATGCATATGGATTTTTTTCAGGAGGTGGAGGTGAGGGGGTCAGCTAGATGTCTAATACACATGGAGACCCATCACCATGCTGAAGAATAATCAAACTAAACAAAGTTCCAAGAATCCTGGAAACATGGAAATTACCAAGATATTTACTGGAATGGAATGCGCACTCCTGGAGTCTAACCAGCGCAAACAGCCTTTCTTGCCATTGAAAGCACTGTCTGGCAAGCTTCCCTGCTGCGTGTCCAGCAAGGACCACTGTACCCGTCAGGTCTTAGGCTTGCAGGGTTAATAATAATAAAAATCCTTGCATTTGATATAGCGCCTTATAGCAAAAATAGAGGTTGAGTGGAAAGAGTCCCTGCTCCCCAGTGACTCATCTTCCCTTTCAAGTCCTGTCAATGAGTCAGCTATTATCAGCAGTGCCCTGAACTGTACTGTGCACCCACCTGGCTCAGGAACTGACAACAGAGACCACCCCAGAGGGTTGCCTCAATTCTGACATTCCATTGCCAAAGATGTAACCTTGGAGCCAGATCAGCTCAAAGTCCCTCTCCTCCTTACTTGCCCTAAGAAAGGTTTTCACTAGTTCGTAATTTGATATCAGACAACCATTAGGGTAAATGCAGGGTAACCACTTCTCCGCTGTAGGAATTGATAGGTCAATGGAAAATGAAATGGAATACCTCAATAGCTGGTTGTGAATATATTCTACCCTGCCACACATCAACCTGACCCCAAAGAACCCTTTCCCCTTGCTTCAAAATTAAAAGGGAGAAAATTGACATATAAATAAATAAAAAATAATAATTTGGTCACTCAATCCACGACTGATTGTGGGACACTGTTGTAAGCGATTGGCTGCTGCGTTTTGCCCACAAAATATACGGTCAATTCACTTTAGTGTATCCTGTGAAGTGCTTTGAGATGTCTCGAAGATGTGATAAGGCGCTATATCAAATGCAAGGATTATTATTATTAGGGATGCTATATAAATGCAAGTTGGTGTTGTTGCTTCACCAGTTGGTCATTTGACATCTGACAAATGTGGGCTTCAGCCCTCACTAGATTGAATGACAGGAATTCCCTGTGAGCTTCCAGGTGGGCAACACAGCTCAGCATGAAATGTGTAAGAGCATTGCAATAGTCTTCCTGCCCACAGCTCAGACATGCATCCCTTTCCATTGAGTGATGGTTCCACCAGTTGGAAGTGGTTCCACTCTGCAAACCAATCAAGGTGGATTCCAAACTCTGGATGTACAAATACGTATTCACGAACTTAGACTCCAGGTAACCTTCTAGTAGCTACTGCCCCAAGCCTCAGTGTTTTCTGATCAGCTATTTGGGAGACAGCTGCATTCAGGCAGTGGGAGGAGCTTTACAGGACAGTTTGTGAGGTGCCAGCCACCTTAATGTTCTCAAGGTGCAAGTCCAGTGCTGAGTACTAGGCTTTCTCAGCACCAGCTGCTCAATCTAGGTCTGCATGTGAGGCAAACAGACGCTAAGCGACTGGTCAGTGTAATCGGAGCCTTCCCTCCTTGTAGCCGCCTCCCGTGTTTGCCACAAATCCACCTCACTGTTTGATCTTGGTCTTCGCAGATGAGTCTGAGGAAGTCTCTACTCTACGTCTCCAGGAATTTGGATCCATAAAGAAGAACTGTTTGCACACAGATTTTATATGCCACAAGCTTGACCTGCATTGGGCCCGTGCTGTCCTGAAAGAGAGACCAGCAGGATCAGAGTGTCCTTTGTCCCTTTTTTGCAAAGTCTTTCAGGATAGTATCCAAGCAAATATTGGTGTCCACCACAAACTCGAAGTAAGAATCAACAATTGGGACTGATGACCTTGTATTTTCTCATCAATACCCTCCATGTTTTCTCTTGAGATGTGCAGAGCCATGATTTGCTACACAGGAGCACCCACCACCATGTTCCACCAGTTGGCCCAGTGTTCAAGATGGTAGGTGCAGCTCAAAAGGTGCAAAAGGTGAGTCCTCCAGCAGCACAATATCATCCTTAAACAGAAGTGCTGCAATCCTGTCAGAGGCCTGGAATGACATTCTATCCATCTGCGAACATCTGCCTCCTTGTCCTCCTCGACCTCTCTGCTGCCTTTCGACAAAGTCAACCATTCTATCCTCCTCTCCTTTGCATCTCCTCTCAGCCCAACCTTCATGGACCTGCCCTTGCCTGGTTCAAAACCTACCTCTCCCACCGTCTCCACTTTGTCTCCACTAACGGCTTCTCCTCCAGCCCCTGCATTACCTTGTCCCTCAGGGCTCTGTCCTTGCTTCCCTCCTTTTCAACATCTATACCCTCCCTCTTGGTTATGTCATCCATAGACATGGGGTCAACTTCCACATGTATGTGGATGACACCAACTCTACCTCTCTGCCTCCACCCTTGACTCAAGGACCACTGCTGTCCTCATAGACTGCCTGTTGGACATCAAGTCCTGGATGAGAGCAGACTTTCTCCAGTTGAATGTCAACAAGACCAAACTCCTGATTGGCTATTGTCAGCGTCTCCAAACCTCGGGCGCTGACAGCATCGCCCTTCATGGATCCAATTTACACCTCACAGAGCCAATACAGAACCTCGGCGTCCTGTTCAACCATCAACTATCCTTCATCCCACACATCTGCGCTATGACCCGCTCTGCCTTTCCCCACCAAAGCAACATTGCCCAGCTCCACTATTATCTCTCCCCGCAGGCTGCTGAGACCCTTAACCACGTTCATCACATCCAGGTTCGACTATACAAACTCCCTGTTTGTTGGCCTCCCCAACTCCACCCTCCACAGGCTGCCAATCTTCCAGAACTCTGTAGCCCACGTCCTCTCTTGCACCAGACTCCACAACCCTATCACCCCAATCGTCATCCGATTTCCCTGACTTCCCATCACTCAGAGGATACAGTTCAAGATCCTGGTCCTCACTTTCAAAGACCTCCACGGCCTTATTCCTCCCTACCTCTGTGTTCTCCTAACCCCCTACCAACCTGTCCGTTCCCTCTGCTTTGCCTGCTTTACGTCCCCCCCTCGCCCGCCCCACCATTGATGGGCGGGCCTTCTGTCTCTCTCCCCGACCCTCTGGAACTCCATCCCACAGTCCCTCCGCCTCGTCCCCTCCCTTGCCTCCTTCAAGACCCTCCTCTTTGACCGTACCTTCGGTCACTCTCCTACCCTCCCAGCACTCCACCTCTGCTGATCCCGACCACAAGCTCGGGTGCAGATCCCTAACTATGTAGTGCCTTGGGATGTCCTCCTGACGTGGAAGGCACTATACAAGTGTAATTTGTTGTTGTTGATAATAATAATAATCCTTGCATTTGATATAGCGCCTTATTACATTTTCGAGACATCTCAAAGCGAGGATGTATGCAACATAGGTGGGTTCCACCTTAGCCTTTTGACATTCTGCTATCTCATACAAAAGCTACTTCCATTTATCACGAGAATGGAAGACAACCCAATGTGGATTAAAGATGGGGCAATGGGATTATAAAATCTTACTCTGACTAACAAAAAGGAAAAACAGGCTTGACGGGCAGAATGGCTTACTCTTGATTTACTGATCATTTACTTTTCAAACTTAAATTGGGTTTATTGCTTCCCCCCCACCCCCATTCAAAGCAACTTGAACATTTTAAGGCATCATTATACAAATATATTTAAACATATACAGGTGGAGTCCTGTAGCTCAGTGGTTAGAGCACCTCGCAAGCGAGAGACCTAGGTTCGATTCCCGGCAGGGCGAAAGGTTGGACAAGTTTCCTTACTCCACAGGCATCTGTTTACCTAGCAGTAAGTAGGAACCCCATTGTTAGTCGTTTGGCAGATCGTTTTTGTGGGGCTAATAATTCCTTAAAAAAAAATTGGTCACTCAATCCACGACTGTTTGTGGGACACTGCTGTGGGCAATTGGCTGCCGCATTTCGCCCACAAAATACACAGTCAGTTCACTTTGTGGAGTCCTATAGCTTAGTGGTTAGAGCACTAGCCTTGCAAGCAAGAGATCTGGGTTCGATTCCCGGCAGGGTGAAACCTTGGGCAAGTTTCCTTACTCTACACGCCTGATAATAATCCCTCAAGAAAAAAAAAGCAATAACAATTTAATAACAATTATATAGCATATACCCTTTTTAGTTTTTTCTACATTATATCATTTACTTAAACTAAATGTTTGCTGTAAAGCTGTTCTGAACTCACCTACAGGGCAGAATCATGGTGTATTTCAGACAAAAGATTAAGGCAGACTGGTTTCCTTAATACTGAACTTATGGCAGCATTACTATCCTGCTTAAAGAATGTTTGATAGCCTGTTTTTCCTTTTTATTAGTCAGATTCCAGGATAATCAAGGAGATTTATGGCTTTTATCCCTTAACTCTCTGAAGTCCTATCTAGAGTTTCAACTGTGAACAGACATTTATTGAGCTGAGTTGAAGTTAAAGGGTTCTAAACACACACACCTTTTTCTTTCTGACAATGAATGCTGTATTGTGGATTTCCAGCATTTTTGGTGATATCTCACGAGCACACAATTGTTCATTAAACAACTACAAAGGTATCTGTTTGCATATTGGTGGGAAATATGCTTATTAGACAGGTGTAACCCACCACAGTACATTTATTTCCGAAAATAAGTTTAAAAAGTAGAAGTTGAAGTCTTGTTGTGTTGGTTATTTGATACAGAAATGCTACTGAGTTTCTCAAAGAGTCAGTACGCTCCCTTACCTGTCTGTTGGAGATGTGGTGTGCTGAACTGGTGGAATTGGATCACTTGGATACCTGATTGCATGCAAAGGCGTTACTGATGAAGATACTCCTGGATCAGTGAGAGGCCTCACGGCATGCAAAGGTGTAATTGATGTTTTTCTTGGATCAGTCAGAGGCCTTACTACATGCAAAGGCATTACTGATGACTTTCCTGGATCACTTGGATACCTGACTGCATGCAAAGGCATTACTGATGATTTTCCTGGATCAGTTAAATGCCTCATAGCATGCAAAGGCCTTGCTGATGATTTTCCTGGGTCAGTCAGAGGCCTGACTGCATGCAAAGGCATTACGGATGAAGAAATTCCTGGGTCGTTTAGAGGCCTGACTGCATGCAAAGGCATTAAGGATGATTTTCCTGGATCAATCAGAGGCCCAGCTGCATGTACACATGTTGCTGATGAAGATTTTGATGGATCAGTAAGAGGTCTAACTACATGCAAAGGTATTACTGATGAGGGTTTTCCTGGAGATGGTGGGAGGTCATAACACTGCAACAGGCTGTCTGTTAATTCCACCTGGAAACAATGGACAAGAACTGTGAGTAACTATAAAACTGGGCTGAAAGTGCTACCAGCAAAATACAAATCGATTGTTCCATTAGATCTTACAACTTCTGATCATTGCTCTTTGATCTAACAGTTTAATATCACATTTTGTGAAAAAGGATTACAGTTCATAGATTTGGGAGCAATATGCAATTTTAGGAATAAGTTGCTTTAACAGCTTCTTCTTTTCTTAAGTTTGACACCAAGTTTCCCCGAGTCTTTCCCTTTTTCTTTTTGTTTATCTACTCTCTCCCTCCACTTTGGGGCTTTGATCTCATAGTCCAGATACTGACGTTTGAGCAGAGTCCTGGGGGAGTGGAGTACTGCATTGTCAGAGGTGCCATCCGTCAGAGGAGATACTCTGAACCAATTCCCTCTTGATAGATTGTCAAGTCCTGGAGGGTATTGGTTAGAGCACTCGCCTTGCAAGTGAGAGGACCTGGGATCAATTCCCGGGCAGGGCGAAACGTTGGGCACATTTCCTTACTCCACACGACTTACCTTCCTCATATTACAGAAACAAGCTGTTATTGAATGAGTCCAACATTCTGGCCTACACCACCTTCCGTTCTTGAAAAGAGACCTTATACAGGTAAATGATAAATGAATGGGACTGAGGAAACAACCCAGAGAAATACCCATAATAATAATCCTAGCATTTGATATAGCGCCTTATCCTGTCTTTGAGACGTCTCAAAGTGCATCAAGGAATATACTGTAAAGTGAATTGACTACATTTTGTGGGCAAAACGAGGCAGCCAATTGTGAGGCAGCCAATGGCGCACAGTAGTGTCCCCATAAACAGTCGTGGATTGAGTGACCAAATTAATATAAATTTATTTATTTATTCTGAAGGGATTATTACCCCAGGAAAAATGATCCGTCAATCGTCTAACAACCGTGTTCCCATTTACTCCTAGGTAAACAGAGGCGTGTGGTAGTAAGGAAATGTGCCCAACGTTTCGCCCTGCCCGGGAATCGATCCCAGGTCTTCTCACTTGCAAGGCGAGTGCTCTAACCAATACGCTCCAGGACTTGACAATCTATCAAGAGGGAATTGGTTTAGAGTTGTTCAGCAAAATGTTAGGGCCTAAACCAAGAAATATTGTTTTACAAAGGGGAAGCAATAGCTGTAAATGGTTACCAGGAAGGGCAATAGAGCCCAGGGCACTGTCCACATTTGATAGATGATTTGATGGTGTAATTGGTAGATAATAGGATGGAAATATGGAGAGGTAAAATCAAATGGACGAAGGGTCTTCTCATCCATATTTTCAAACTATTTTGTGCCTGGGATGTGAGCTCATAATTGCAGTTTAGATTCACTCTAAAATTTGTACAGACTATCCAGAACTCTGCAGTCCATGTCCATTCCCGTACTAGGTTTTGCGAGCCTATCAACCCATCTTTGCTCAGCTCCACTAGCTCCCCATCCCCTGCAGATCGAGTTCAAGATCTTTGTCCTCACCTTCAAATCCCTCCTTAGTCTTCCCCATCCTACTTCTCAAACCATACCAACCCGGCTGCTTCCTTCACTGAGCAGACATCGGCTGCTTAATGTTCACTGTCCTACCTGCACCACCATCAAAATTCCATCCGGTGACCCCACTCTCTGGTACTCCATCTCAGAGTCCCTCTGATTCAGTCCTTCCCTCACCTCTTTTAAGGCCTATGTCAAGACCTTTATCTTTTCCCTCCCCATACTCTCAGCTTCCATCCTTAGCTCAGGTATCAAGGCAAGACTGTCTAGCACCTCGAGAGTAAATTTGTGTTGTTTTGTATACTTCTGAAGAACTCCCAGTGACCTAAACAATTCTTCCCTTATCCAAATTCTTTGGGTGGGGGGTGGGAGGGGAAGAGAGGCAGCGGGTAACAAAATGAACATGGTCATTCATCTCATTCCAATGCTATTTGTAAACAGTGTTTTACCAATATATCAACCAACAGTCACTGCACTTAAAAGAAACGCATTGTACTTTGAGATGTTTCAATGTGATAAGGCGTTGGATCAAATGAGAGTATTGTTAAGAGACTATGAATTGCATTGCTAGGGAGCAATGTTTTTCTAACCTCTTATATAAATAACATTGTCCTGGATACATTCTATGATAAAAGGTTGGAGATATGTCCCAGCAGAATATAGTTTACAATCTCAGCTGTTATACTTGCTGATTTTTTTGTTTTATATTAAGTTTATGAGTAATGTACTTACTGGAAATTGTGGTGCAGATGAAAAAGCATTGGCTGGTACAGTCTTTATCTGTAAAACAAAGAAAGAGTACAGTAAAAGAAACAGAAGAAAGACTATTTCCGCTGGTAAAGATCCAACAAGCAATGCTAACAACGTGCTTGAAGCAGCAGCAATCATTTCAAAATGTCAAACTACTAATTGGCAAGTGACTTGCCCCACGTAGTTTTATAGTTTAATTGGCACCTTTTAGAGATCATTTTCTTCTGACATGTACTTTGCAATGAATACCCTTGAATCAAGTGCCACACAAGTAATTATGTCCTGTAATGAATTACACAACAGTTTTATTTAGCAGCAGCATTACCACAACGGGTGATTGTACCTTCTACAGTTGTCGATCAGTGTCGTGTTTGAACTCCCATTACCATAATTAAAGCGCTCAGGAACACAAAGGCTTCACACAGATATCCAGAGCAATGGGAACAAGACAATTTACTTTTCTGTTTTAACCGGCGAAGAGATGCAGTGAAGTCGTGATAATAGACCACAATGGAATCCTCCACCGCCTCTTCCCTAATTATGTGCAAATGGACACTGGGAACTGAATTGCTGAAGAAAGCAGATAATCTGGGAGGAGGCAGAAGGCTAGAAATGGAAGGCAGGTAAGCAAGGGCTGATTTGGGGAAAGTGTCTTAAAATGCACACCCCTTATATGATTAAAAAACTATGATTTCCATGGTTGCAGGAAAGGACAATACTAACCCAGTGAGGAAACTAAACATTTACGTGAGCCACTCTCCCCTCCAATGTTTCTCCACAAAGTGCTGGGATACTGATCCACAAGTACCTTCCAATACTTCACCCAAGTGTCTGCTCTCTCTTGTGCAGTGAGTTTCAGCAAGCTATTGAATCATGATAGGCATCACACTCGAGCTTGATCTCGTCTTCACTTGATATCCAATCTTTCCAGCAAGGATCAATGCACAGCAACTTGGGTGTTTTCCCATCTCAGGGGTTTCTGAGGCGAACTATAGTGCTGCTATCCCACATTAGTAAGATCAGCTACTCATCATAGATAATAATAATCCTTGCATTTGATACAACCCTTTATCACGTCTTCGATTCGAGACGTCCCAAAGCGCTTCACAGAATATATATATAAATTCAGTTGTTATGGCCTGGAAAGCACTGCCTGAAATGGTGGTGGAAACAGATTCAGAACAACTTTCAAAAGGGAATCAGATAGGTACTTGAAAAGGAAAAATTTGTAGGGATATGGGGAGAGCGGGTGAATGGGACCGATTGGGTAGCTCTTACAAAGCGCCGGCACAGGTACAATAGGCCGAATGGCTTTCTTCTGTGCTGTAATATTCTATACTGTAAAGTAAATTGACAAAATGACTATATTTTGTGGGTGAAACTTGGCAGCCAATTGCAGTGTCCCACAAACAGCCGTGGATTAAGTGACCAAATTATTATTTAAAACAATTTTTTTTTGAAGGTATTTTGACCCCTGGAAAGCAATCCGCCAATCAACTTACAACCGGGTTCCAACTTACTCCAAGAATGAACCGTGAGTAAATACAAATGCATTTGTAATATAATTGTGGTCAATGAACCAGGCAATATGAAGGACCATGTATGTACTGAACACAGACCAGAGGAGTGGCCTCTGTGAAGTCCATCAGTAAATCCCCTGGAGCAGCCAAGTCTGGATGATCTTGATCAAAACTATTCTGTAAAATATAAAAACTCTATATTGTAAGTATTTCTATGCAGCAACAAACAACTTCAAACAATCTTAATGTGCATTAATTTCAGTTTCCTTCGACCCCGAGAAAACATCAAACACCATCAGAAATTCACACCCTGTATCGTAAATTCATTTGAATGTATAGAAACGTCCTTCAACACTCCATCATTGTCAGCTGAGTAGACTATGGGAACCACAGGGGTATTAGAACAAGGAAGAATATTGGGTTAATAGCACATGGAATGCTGCATTGGAGTGTCCGCCAAGACGATAAGCGTTCTAAGACCCAACATGGGGCTTGAACCCATAACCTTCTCATTCAGAGATGAGAGTGCTGAACCAGGCTGAAACACAGTAAGATAGCATGTTGATAGAAGGCATTCTAAGGTATTCATATCCCCAAACGCATAATTGTTAAACTGTGTTTATTAAATGCAAATATCAAATACAGAGGAACGCCATTAAAACATGGGTTCACTAACAGCACAATTGGGGTACAGACTCAACATTTATTTGTCCCCAAAATGCAAAATATGCACCTGGCATCCATCGATGCTTTAAAATTCCAGTGGGGGCGCAGAACACCAACATGCTGCCATGAATTCTCTCCTACCTGGTGCAATGCAGATGAAACGATGTCAGCAGCAACCTGGAGTCAGTCACTTTGGCTTCCTATGGGCCAGCCAGTGTTTTGAAGCGCTGATGGAGTTGGCCATCTTCTTGCACGGATGCACAGTGAATATGGAATCGCTGACCAGCGATTGTGCCCCATTATAGTGCTGGGTGTGATTTTATGCATACTAACCCCTGCCTTATAATGATACTACATTGTACGTATGATACACTTATCTACTATTACTGGTTTTGCAGGAAAGTTATTGTTGAAAATAAAAACTTTCGTGAAATAAGGTCTCACTGTACCTTGCAGTAGATTGGAGCGTGCAACTGAGGAATTTCAAAAGATGGTGGTTTACTGGCAGGAGGTGGGCTGCTTCGAGTCGCGGCAGCCAAAGCAGGTGGCAGGTCATCCTCATCACTGTGATTACTGTCACAGAGAATAAAGACATTGTTATAAACAAACTCCATCTACCACCAGGCAGAACTTCCAAGCCATATAATCAACTAAAAATAAACCCACAGGCATGATGAGATTCTGCTTTTTGCACAAGCTTCCTGATGTTCCCTGCAGGCAGACACCACAACAAAAGGAAAACCTTTATATGAGACCAATTCACCAATTCACACAGGGACAGTTGCTTTGCTTTGTGTCTGGAATAACTGCTGCAAGAGAACAGCAAGGTGAGCACCGATCATTTCACTCTGATTTCTGATGTAGCGTCACTCCGAAGGTTAACCAGTTGCTCTCTTTCAGGTGATGACTGACCTGATGAGCATTTCCAGGCTTTATTTCAGAATTCCAGCATTTTCCAGCATTCCCATGCGATTTTTTTCTTGAAAAATGATAAAACAGTGTAATAAAACACTTGTGGAATTCTCTTTGGTTTGGGTCTGTACGTTAGTATAGTACAGCACTATCTGCTCTGTATATTAGTACAGTATTGTGTACAGTCTCTGGAACACCATCCCAGAGTTCCACTTGCTCTCTCCCACTCTCACCTCGTTCAAGGTCCGCCTCGAGACCTACCACTTTGACTAGACTTTCGGTCATCTTTCCACTCCCTCCCCCACTCAGTTCCCACCCCCAGCATGGGTGCCACGCCAGTATAATACTGCACTGTACTAATGCACATATCGTTTTCACATAGCCAATGTGTTTCATTACACTATTTTGTCATTCTTCTGTATATAGTTTGGGACACGACGTGTTAAGCGACTGCCAGGATGGTGGAAGGAGAACTAGATGGACCTTGGTCTTCTTTCGCCTAACAAATTCTTATGTTCTTAACAACCTGGAAATGCACAGTAGGTCAGTTAACTTCCTTGGGATGTCCTCTTGAAGTGAAAAGCACGATATAAAAGTAAATCTGTAAGCCTATAGAATAGGTACAGATGAGATTTACTAGGATGATACCAAGGATGAGTGCCTTTACTTATGAGGAGAGTCTGAATGAACTGGAGCTTTTATCTTAGAACACAAAGTTGAGAGGAGTCATGATAAAACTGAAGAGCTTTGATAAAGTAATCATGTTGAAATTCACTGGTTGGTAAATCGGTATTTACAAGGGATAGAATAAAGATATCTACCAAAAGGAGGAATGGGAGCTGTTAGGAGTTTTTCTGTCTTATAATGGCATCAGGAATGAAAGCTGGCTTTTGGGAAGCGACATTGAGAGCAATTTTCNAAAAAAGCTCAGTGGAAAGGTAGATAACGCCTTTCAATAAACAGGCTGGCAACTGGATTTAAAAATTTCAACTGAAAACATTCTGGAAGGTTATTAATAAGAAGATATTTTAGAAACCAAGGATCAGAAAAAAATATCCCAGAGAGAGAACAGTCAAGGATAATCAAGCTTTAACCCTGGAGGCTGAATATAATATAAATGAATGTTATCCATATTCCATGCCAATAATAAGCTCACTTCTAATTCTGAAGTGCACTACTGGATAGTTATAACAGTCCTCTTCTCTATTACTGCTCTTTATTACAAGTACAATGCTAAACCTCCAGGATGCAGTTTCTGCTGCAATGCTCTTATCAGCGGTGAACAAACGTCCTCCACTTCAGATCCGTACACTGCACAGCCTCTTTTATCCACACACATTTGAGTGAGACTGTGCAGTGTGAGCTGAGCTGCCTGACACACACGGAAAAACATCACTGTACTCTTAAGAAAGATTGAAGCAGGGGATTTTGAGGTGCAGAGTAGTAGCTCATCCTCCTAAAGTGAGATCTTGCATTGTTGGCTTGATACTTTAATTCCTGGTTTTACTCAAATTGGAGATGTTTTGGGTGGTGAGTAATTCAGCAAAAAAGTTACGTGATAAGAATGACCATCGTTGTCAGGAACCACTGCAGTTAGACCATTTATAGCTATTTTCCATTTGTAGCTATCTCTTCCTATTTTCAGGTCCCTGCTGAAGATCTTTCTCTTTGACCGCACCTTTGGTCACCTTCTTCCCCATCCCCCTGGCTTGGCCCCAGGATCCATTACTGTAAAGCACTCTGAGACCGTCCGGTGTGGAGGGCGCTATATAAATCCAAGTTGTTGTTGTTGTTGTAGCTACTCTGCACATGGAACCAAAGTACAACTTCCTTATACATGTGTGGTGAAGAATACATCTTCCACATGTACATCTTCTCTGGTTCCTTGCACCAGATTTGGTGTTAATATAGAATGCATGTTAATATAAGATCCTGTTCATCTTGCCATCACAATGGACATAATAATTGGGCAGGAAGATTATAGCAGTGCTCTCGTATTTCACGCTGAGCTGTGTTACCCACTAGGAAGCTCACAGGGAGGTCTTTGTACCTGTCAGCCACCTAGTGAGGGATCAAAACCTCGATTGTCGCCAGAGACTATCCTCCTTGAAAGGGAGGATGGCCTCCATGGAGTTGAGCTGGCTCCAAGGTGACATGTTTGGCAGGAAATGTCAGGATTAAGCCAACCCACTGTTGGTAATCCAGTTCCTGAGACAGGAGGATCTGGATTATTCCAGGGTACGGCTGATAACAGCCCAGCCAGCCTGGCTCATTGGCAGATTTTGGAAGCCAGACCAGTCACTGGGGGCAGGGATTCTTCCAACTCAATTCCTGTTAACTCTATGAAACAACACACTATCATGTAGGGTGGTCCTAGCTGGACAAGCAGCAGGAAAGCTTACCAGACAGCAATATCAATGGCAAGCTATGTGGTTTTAGCTGGTTGGTCTCTAGCAGTACCCCAAAAACATATTCTGCAGTCCTCAAGCTTTGGCTCTTGCCAACCTGTGCCTAATAATCTTCGTAATCAAGTAAGCGTGATGTGTCCCTCAAGGGAGAGAGTGCACATTCCATTGAAATAAGTACCTTGGAAATTTCTATGGGGTGCATGGAATTGTCAGTTTGGTTCAAATACTCTAAAGCATGGTGATAGGTTTCCACATGTGTTGACCAATTTAAAAGCAACAACTTGCACTTATATAGCGCCCTCCACGCAGGATAGCGTCTCAGAGAACTTAACAATGGCGGAGCCTGACTCCGAAGAGGGGGTGGGGGGAGGTGGCCGTCAGCACGGTCGAAGAGGAAAAAATCTACAGATGCATCAGGTCATTAGATGGAAGGATAATCACAATTATGTTTAAGCCTGAGGACGAGAGTGACATAGACAAGCCAGCTACTGATGACTGAATAAATAATACACTATCACCAATTTCAACCTTGGACGTTTTAACTGAAACCATCCGAACACTGATAAAACTTGTATCTGGCCACAAACAAGGATGATAATGCCTGAAATCAAAAAGGTTTAAACGCAGCAAAGAGATTAATGAAAAGGATGATTTTCAAATAAACAGATGCAACTGTAACACAGACAAGATGGGCTGAATAGTATCCTTCTGTGATGAAAATTTCAGTTTCTATGATGCGTGGGAAGATGACAGGACACAGATGCGAACTCTGCAAGTGGCATGAATCCAACCAAAAACAACAACCCTATAGATCCTCTGTACTGTGTCCAGGTTATTTGCCTGGGTTACTCTGATTTGTGACTGTGGACAGGCAATATAGTGTAATTTATGCAAGTAGAACAGCATTAAAAAATACAGACTGCTTTGAGGCAAAGAATTTGATAATAAATAATCTTTGCATTTGATATAGCGCTTTTTACGTCTTCTAGACGTCTCAAATCGCTTCACAGAATATACTGTAAAGTGAATTGATTGTATATTTGTGGGCGAAACCGGGCAGCCAATTGTGCACAGCAGTGTCACACAAACAGTCTTGGATTGAAGTGAACAATTTATTATTTTTTTGAGGGATTATTATCAGGCGCCCGACTCCACTGGCTCCCCATCCCTCAGAGGATTGAATTCAAGATCCTTGTCCTCACTTTCAAGACCATCCATGGCCTTGCCCCGTCCTACCTCTCTGACTTGCTGACTCCCTACCAACCTGCCCGCTCTCTCCGTTCATCAGGCTCCGGCCTGCGTCATGTCTCCCGCCCTACCATCGGTGGCCGAGCTTTCAGCCTCTCTGCCCCCACACTTTGGAACTCCATTCCACAGTTCCTTCGCCTCGCTTCCTCCCTTGCCTCCTTCAAGGCCAGTCTCAAGACCCTCCTCTTTGATTGTGCCTTTGGTTGCCCTCCCACTTCTCTGCCTTCCCTCACCCGTACCGCACCTCTCCCCCATGCTCGGGTCCTGACCCCTGACTGTCCAGCGCCTTGGGACGTCCTCCCGACGTGAAAGGCGCTTTGTAAATGTCATTTTGTTGTTTTTGCTGTTGTTGTTAATGGTGAAAACGAGGATCTTGAACTAAATCTGCTGAGGGATGGTAAACCAAGAGAGCCAAGTGAGGATGGGAGTGATAGGCTTGTGAAACCCAATGATTCCTGATGGGCGATAGCTACTATAAGAAATGTGACTTACAATAGTGTCCCAAGAGTATTGATTTTTGTTTATATAAAATAGATTCATAACATTTACAACAAGAAATGAGGCCATTCAGCCTACTGGGAGCTTTTCCCAGTGTCCTAGCTAACAATGCTCCACTTACATTAGTCATTAACTTCTTGGCTGTTTGTGGGATATTACGATTCACAAATTGAATGCTGAATGTAGAAAATACATTCACTACAATTTATAGTAAATCCTGTGAAACACTTTAAGACATTTCTAGCGCATTGGGACGTACTACCGAAGTGAAAGGAGCTATACAAATGTAGTTTTTTTATTGGATTCAGCCCCCTCCTCATGAACCACTACATGCTCCCCCTTGGTGACATCATCTGCAGACATGGGGTCAACTTCCACATGTACACAGATGACACCCAACTCTATCTCTCTGCCTCCACCCGCGATTCCAGGACAACTGACGTCCTGACAGATTGTCTGACATCAAGTCCTGGATGAGAGCCAACTTTCTACAGCTGAATGTCAGCA